TCTAGTAACATAATTGGGGCGCACAATATTTTTCATCTCGAGTTGATCGAGCGATTTTATGTATCTGTTCCTTTTATTTTGGTGTGATAGCCAGTGCAATTGACCATCGAAACAACATTAAATCAAGCCATCATATCACAAAATAACCACGCAATGAAAGTCGAAGCTTAGTTTTGAAACCATGCTAAACATTTTGCGAGCAGCATGAACGTGAACGGCGTCAATCAAATTTTAAAAGTTGCACTTCTTGCAGCAGAGCGCCATCTGTTGAATGCAGGAGTAACTTCATTGCTTATAGCGCCACACAATCACAGCAACACAAGAATAAAGCAAAAAACAAACGCATGGCCTTCAAGATGGTGGACGTGCGGCGTAGAAACGTGCCACGTGCCCGCCATCTTGTATGCCACGCAAATTGCCCACTGCGCCATTGGCGCGTCACTCGAAACGTTTGGGTGCCGCCATTCGACGGTGCATTTGTGTTTCGAGTTTGCCGCAGTGAACTTAGTTGGGGACACCTGCTGCGCAGGGCACGTTCGGCCGGTACGCTGGCTAATTGGCTGGTTTTAAACTTATAGTTGGTCGAGCATGCGCTGGAGCATGGGAACTGAGCAACTAGATGGCACTTCTGCGTCGATTTGTGCACTCGTTACGAGAGAAAACAAGAGTTTCTGGTTACAAAAATGATTTGTCGTGCATTTCGCGGGCCAAAACAAGCAACACTGTCATGCGAAATTTTCGCTGTTCTAACTCCGATGACTTTTTCCCAGGTAATGAACTCTCCTCCCAAATTAATGTCAGCTTTTCTTAAAAAAAAAGGTGGGTTCATCATGCGAGTAAATCCTGACGTGACGTGAAACTGCAACAATCATAACAAGTGTGAGCCTGATCACAGTAATAAAATCCTACTAATTCCCATAGCTGATATCTTTGCAAAAAATTGACTACGAGTGTCTATTACATTTACTGAGATAGCGTAAAGGTAATGGAATCTGTCGTTTTGCTAATACACCAATTATAAAAAAAAATGTAAACCAAAGTGCGTGAATACGCACTTTGGTTCTATTCTTTCATTCTGCAGCAAATGTAATTCGGTCGTCAATCTCGTGGGTGCAGGTTACCACCCTTTCTCCCCACGCCGCAAGAGAAACATAAAAATCAAGTAATTTTCATCTGCAGTTTCGGCTAGCTTGAAAATCTGAAAAAAAAAAAGCTGTAAGTCCTCGTAAAATTAAACAGCTATCAAAGCGTGGTATGTGCCTGTATGTCGGAGGTACAATTTTGTTTTAGTTCATAAATTAAAGATTGCTTGGCATCTGGCACTTCTTTATGTTGCGACACTAAATGTTGCATTGGCTGCAGGACACTGTAACGAAAGTTTGTTTCACAGCAGCGCTAGATTGGTGCGCCGAAGAGCACGAGCATTGTAGCAGACGACGCAGAGCCACGCCTACAGCCACTGCTGTGCCTGCGCAAATTTCCTTCGATGCGCGGCCGCGCTGCCGGCAGTAGCCCATTGCGAAGCGCGGCCATGCGCTCGCGCGTTCACCCTAGCAGAGGATAGCACTGTACACCGACGACAATGTCAGTGCTCGTGTCAACTCGGAGATTGTTGGCTGTGTAGGCACTGCTTCTTCAATCTTGGTGCCGTCGGACTCCTCCGTAACTTGATTTCGTCATCGGTCAATTCTACTCACAGCTTGAGGTTTTTGTCAGCATCGGCGAAGCCCTCAAGGACTATTCCGGCTGGAATCCAAACACCGGTAATGTGCAGATCGTCAAAAGCAAACGTTCGCGAATGGAAGTTCGTCGCACAGGTTGTCCACTGCAAGCCATCTCAACATCCAGTATGAAGATCGCGTGGCGAAAACAGTTCCGGAGAGTCTGTTGCATAACCGCCTTCCACGAGTCTCCAAACATGCCGACCATAGGTCAACAGCGTAGCCTTTCCCACCGTCTTGAAACAGGCTGCACAGCACCATAACAATAATAACAGCACCATGCGGCCTAAGCTACGGCTGGCAACGCTTTGGCGTATGCTGGATTGCGGCATTTTCGGTTTCGAGGGTACGGCAGCCACGGCGCGTTGGGTTCGAAGATCTGAACAACCAAAAGGGTGGCATCGATAGTGACTTGAATCTGCGGTTCCGGTCCAGAAAATCGGATGACTAAAACTATAAATGTCTGGTATTTTTAAATATTTTTAGATATTTACTCTATGGGAAACTTGACGGTGCGACAGATGAGTCCGGGAAATCAGGCATGTTGTTTAAGCAGTAGTGAAAAGATGGGGAAAGCAAGCGGGAAACAGCGCAAACAAACTTGTGGATTATTCCACATGATCATATATACCAGGTGTCCCGTCTGTGATAAAAATTTTGAGAAAAATCATATTCTCTAGGACGTTAGCATTCAAAAGCTTGTATTGCGGAAATTCCGGTGTTGGTGTCATTTGTTGTGAGCGAAAAATCATCTTGTGCGTGAGTGATAAATCGAGAAAGATGCAGATAAAGTTAATGATAATAATAATTCCGGGTCTGAGTGAGGATAACTCGGGTCGTTTGTGTGGCAAGCAAATGTTCTACCACACAGCCACCCGCCTGCATGGGAATACAGTGTAAACAACTTTACTTGGAAATGCAGTGAAAGTAACTACAATTGAACACGATTATCTCGAACCCACATATATTGAATTTTCGGGTATATCGAACTCATAAGTTATCCCCTTGAAATTCCTTTGTAAATGTATTGCAGTTTGCACGTTTATATCGAACGGTATTTTTACCCGCCTTCAGATATATTGAACGCCGCGCAAGCTGGAAGGTGCACTTCGGCGCTCGCCGCGCCCTGCGATCTCCCCGGCAGCGCGGCTCCGCACGCGAGTTGGAAGGCGCTTTGACAATTAGCACTCGCTCACCCAGCGACCTCCGCCCGGCACCACACCTCCGTCAAAACCCGAAACTTTGAAAAACATGTGCAAATGGCATTATTTTATGGTTCAACGTAAGTGAAGGCAACTTGAAATAGTGGTTACCAAAATTAGACTTGTTAGGTGTTAACCTATAAAATATGTGACGTTTTAAAATTTACTTAGAACATATGAACTGTTAAGCTTTTAAACTTAACTAAAGATGAATGGATGTGAGGGTAATGTGTTCATTTAACATTGAGGTGAGGCTTCGCAACCATGGGAATTTTTTTCTGGATAGATGTAATCTAGCTATAGCACTCCTGCACTGTAGCGAAACCACCTTTACAGGGGTTCCATGCAGACTAATATGTATACATTTACGTTAATTTAGAATACTTTCAAACATCCAATAATTGAAACTTCAATCAGGGGGAATTAGAATATTGTAATATTCATTTTGATATTGAAGTGTGCTAATATTTGCATAAGCCTATTCGTCTAAGATTGCATATTTTATTGCATAACCAAACATGGTGTCAGTGGCATGGTAGCTTACAAGGGAAACATATTACAAGTTCGGCTATGAAAGCAACCAAGCCGATGGTGTACACTATTGTGGAACTAGCTAGACAGGAATAAATGCCTACTGTTGTAGCTTAGCAGGCAGAATATTGTGCTACTAAGCCCAGGACCACAGGTTTGGTTTCATGCCGCAGCAGCCACATTGCAATGGGAGCAATACACAAGAACACTCATGTATTTGGGTGCGCATTAAAGAACACCAGGTGGTTGAAATAAATTTGGAGTTTCTCGCTTATGCTTTGCCTCGAAGTATATTAGGATTATGGTTTATAAAACTAAAGGTACCTGGTTCGATCCCGGGTTTCGGCACCATGTGTGGTACCTCAAGGTCTGCCGGCTGCCAGGCTGTGGTGCAGGACAAGAGATGGCACATCCAAAAGGAACGCTGTTTAATGGAAGGATGAAAGAAAAAGAACAGATAACTTCGTGCCCTAAAACGAGTGGCAGCTCGTGAGAAGCAATGAACGACGGCTGTTAGGCTGATAAAAAGGAAGCTTCCACGATTCCTGCAATTAAGACTCGGACAAACATCTCCAAAAGAATGACAGATGAAAGCACTGATCGATGTCCTCTTTTGTTGTTCTTTCACCCTTTCACATCCAGTGCGGTTTGTTCCCATCTTAATCATGCTCCAACCAGCAGGTGCCCTTCTGCTGTCCATCTCGCAATTATTATTATCATAGAAGGTGAGACTGGAAAGAAGACACCCACCCGATTGTAGCATGAAGCCACGAGAAAATCTATACGCATTTCTCAAAAATAAAGCCTCTTAGTTGCTGAAAAATTCGTCCTGGTTTGGGGTACAAACCCGGGAGCAACGCCTATCCAGGGCGGTCGCTCTGCCAATTGAGCTAACCAGGAAGCTAGCAATTGACAGCCCGAAGGCGAATTCATCGACAGCTCGAAGCACATGGACACAAGTATTGCAAAGCAGTTCTGCGGAAACCCGCAAGGTGGCGGAATACTTGTCTTTGCAATACTTGTGTCCATGTGCTTCAATATGTTGATGAATTTGCTCTCGCGCTGTAATTTACTAGCTTCCTGGTATCTCAATTGGCAGAGTGACCGGCCTGGATAGGCGTTAATCCCGAGTTCGCACCCCGGACCAAAACGAATTTTTCGAAAACTGCAGACTTTCTTTCTGAGAAATCTGTATGAATTTTCTTGTGGCTTCCTGCTACAATCGGGTGGTTGTCTTTTTACCCTTCTGCCACCTTGAGGGTCTCTGCAGAACTCATTTGCAAGGTGGGACTGTTGCATGTGAGTGTTAGGCAGTTCTAAATCACTTGTAAAAGTCGTATATATGCTATGACAAATGAGCTGTTAAGGCTAGCATGTTGGCATACTTCCCGTAGCGCAAAAATACGTGACAAAGGACAAGGGATGAAAATTCTGTGCAATATATTTTTGTGCTACGGGATCAGTTATATATTACCAACTCGCCCAACTTCATAATCTTGGCATACTTGTCTTAGCAACCACTGCATGTAACACCTCGGTGGTGCAGCCCATTCCCAGGGTGAGCTTGGACCCAGCACGGAGGCCCAAGGAGGGCCTGGTGCGCACAGGACACCAGCTGGGGTCTGGCCATTCATCTCTGGCAGCTGCTGCATCCCAAGAGAAGGACATCAATCTGGTGCCAGCCGAGTACTCAAGCGAAGATTTCGGTGCCAAGATCCTTTCAGAAAAGGTTCTTACTTCTTTTTTCAGCTGGGCCATTTCGGAAAGAGGCTTAACTTGTCAGCATTAGTGTATGTGGCAAAGTGAGAACAATAGACAGTTCTAACCACACACATAGAAATGTTCAAGTAAACATCATCTCTTCTTGCATAGCGCCATGCTGATGTTTTCAGTCACATTTACCGTCACCAGCAAAGTTCATCATTTGAATCTCATTATTCTGCTGAATCTTCAGAACAAATTTGAACATTGAACATCATTTATATATGGAGGAAAAAAGATGCATAATTTCCCTGTGGGAGGCAAGGACTATAGGCTAAAGAGCCTGACGAGGTCTCGACCTCCTGATAACTAATACAGTCTACATCTGTAACATAATAGTCAAACATAATTAGTGTGTACGCGCTTTAGGAGAACTAACGGTTAAAACCCAGTTACGATGAATTTTCAATAGTCTCATAAACATTAATGCATTGGCAGACTGCTTAAGCCATAATGTTCTGCTTATCCCTACCGATTAGTGCATACTAACTACATACCTCGATAACATTTTGTGCCAGAAAATTTTACTGTGCGGCTGAACTTGCAGATGCCACAATGTGCCATGAACGGTTTGTCATGTTAAGTGCGGAGATCAGGCGATCAGTTATTCTGACTTCCGTGTGATAGCGACGATGACTTTGCAGGTAATCATAGGGAAAAAGCAAAGGCAAGGTGGCAACTACAAAGAAACGCGCAGGTATGGCTTATGATCGAAAAGCTTCATCACAGTAAGCATTTTCGGCTATCCGCTCGGGCACAAGAGTCACATAGCGCCACTTTAACCATATTGAACGCTTTTAGTAGACAACTACCTGAACACGCTAGGCCCTCAATTGCTTCCACTTGGTTGTGCGGGACCGTTTTCAAGCGTGCAGCCCTTTACAGAAACGCAAGCAGCTCGCTGTCACGGAGTTTCGTGTTGCAGGTCACGGACATCGAAATACTTTCCAGTATTGACACTAACAAGCGCACGGTATAGTAATTGTAGCGCTGTTGTAACCATACTGCACCTTTTTATTCAGCGAGAGCCCGAATGCGCCTCCTTCTGCTGCCAGGACTTCTAGAGCATCATGAAAAGTGCATTGCTTGCGGAAAGCTCATTGCTGTCGCATTAATCCAAAAGTTTACTCGCTGCACCTGTGCATGGCCTGAAGCAAAGTGGGCGTACTCTAGAGCAAGTGGATCGATAGTCACTGTGTGCGCCGGGTAGGAGAAGCGATGCACATCATGCAGTAAACTATTTGGCGCTCTGCTACCTTACCGTGTTGAAAAAAAAAAAACTGCATCAGTTCTCGCTTAGGAGCAGACTGCAAAACAACTGTAGCTCAGACCTTGCAGTAGTTTCGAAATGCTCCTTGGCTTCGCCACCGCGTGCTAGAGGATCGTTTTGCAAAAGTGACAGAATCTTTTCTGCTTTTTGGCCAAAAGGAAGAAATGGCTTTGCAGTGGGCACTTTAGGCAATATTTCAGGTGGCAAGGAATTTATTCTTTTGTTGGTGATGATGGCGCATGTCAGAAGATGCGAATTTGTTGCTGGTTAATGTGTAGTACGTTTAGTGTCTAGTTATGCCGTCATACCGGGCAGGTACATATTAACGAGGTTTCACTGTATATAGATTTACACATCAGTAGCATACACATATACACAGTGGTGACATACTTTACACATATTTTATACATTTCACTACTATAAAATAGTATTCTGAGAACTGTGGTTATATGGGTTTGTTAGCAGGCATTGTACATGCCTTTTTCAACATCACAGCAACTAGACAGTGTGAGAAGACCGCACAACACAGGCATTGACATATGGATGCATACTACCTGAAGGCGTCCCGTATGCCATAAAGTGACCCTCGCTATGCATGACAAAGAGGGAATTTTAAGGACTAGTTTTCTTTTTTTTTTTTAAGTGACGTTTAATAAAGAACTAACAGACTATAAGGCCAAAGAAAGTATGGATGTTGTTATTTCTACTAACCGGGATATGGTTATGCAAAGTGTATATTCAGTTAATGGTGATTCAGTTGACACTGCACACAGTGCACAGGATCGCAAGACAACAAAAAGCTCCGACTCAGCCCCACAACGTCGTCTTCAATCATTTGGTGTCATTTAGGCGCCCATGCCAAAGGTACCTTTCTATACCCGTGACATTACCTCGGCCGGCACAGCACCGTCGCGGTGTTTGTTATGGTTAGAAACTCATGTCACTTTTGTGGGGCTCCGGGTGAGAAATAATGCACAGTGTCAGTTCTGGATGTAACGGTCGATTTCATAGTTGGGGAAATTTCATAGGGGGACAGCTGTCACCTGATCGAGAACTCGCTAGGGCCCAACATATGATAATAAAAGTTTCTCGGAGAGGTTTACACAATGGGATAAGAGCCTCAGTAGCATAAGAGAGCCTGAAGGAAAAACTGCATCTCTATGTTGACAGTCATAGAGCGACTTTTGTCCAGTCTGGGACGATGAGAACTGAGTGCGGGCTACTGTACGTGCAATGAGAGCACGGGTGATGGTATCTTGAGCGTATGGAGTGGTGGATGGAACGTAAGTGGTTGGAACGTCTAGTGGCTAAGGTACTCGGCTGCTGATCCGCAGGTCGCTGGATCAAATCCCGGCTGCGGCGGCTGCATTTCCGATGGAGGCAGAATGTTGTAGTCCCGTGTGCTCAGATTTGGGTGCACATTAAAAAACCCCAGGTGTTGAAATTTCTGGAGCCCTCCCCTACGGCGTCTCTCATAATCATATAGTGGTTTTGGGATGTTAATCCGCACATATAAATCAATCAGTGCCATGGCTTCTTGCATTGGTTCAATGCTCCATTTGAGCAGGGGTTAAACTGAGCCTACACAGGTGGTGACGTGGAAGCGGAAATCATGGATGCAAAAGAATGTTTTTAGTCTTCATCCCAGAAAAAAAATGTTCTTTTTGAGGAGATTCGTGAGGTCCCTAACGATTTCCACGAAGTGGATGACAAAACAGCGGAAAATATGAGCAGACCCTCAGAAAGCTGTACACGTGGGACTGGGGCAGTACGGACATTGTCAGGGTCTGGTTAATACCAGCAGCGTCAACAAGGGTGGCCAAGTAATCTGACGGCGTCCAAAAATGCACTTCCACTCGTTAAGCTGGAGGCCACCACAAAAAAAATCAATAATGGCCGACAGGCATGGAAGATGGCTTTCAAAGGTAGGTGAGAAAACAATCACATTGTCCAAATAGCATAGACACGTACAGTGCAGTCCACTTATAACGATACCACATATAACGATATATCGGTTATAACGATGGGTCGACTTAGCAGTCTCATTTTATGCATTGGGGCTATGGGGAAAAAAACCATATATAACGATATGTTATCCACCGCATATCGGATACAACGATGAAAAGTTTGCCGTGGACGGCATGTTTCATTCAGAATAATCGTAACATTTAGATTGATAAATTCCTCTGAAACGAACTATGCCGAGACAAGACGAAAAGTTAGCGTAGGCGAGTACGTATTTGCCGCCACTGCAGCACAGCGCCGGCAGCGCGTCCCGGCCGTTCAGAAAGCCGAGGAGAGCATCGCGAGTTGGCGCGACGCGCTACAGATGGCGCCAGCTGTGTCACGTTTTGCGCCTCGCCGCGCGTCGACCGCGGAGAGGCTGAGAGAATTTAAAAAAAAAAAATGCGAAAAGCAAAGCGTCGCGCTATGCGGCTCCCCGCCTTCTACAACGGCAAGCCGGCAAGCTACTCGTAGCTTGCCGAACGAAAGCGATAAGAGAGAGAAAATAAAAAAAGCGAAAAGCAAAGCGGCGCGGCGGCATCGGGGCGGGGCCTCGTTGGCATTCCGGCTGTGTACCTCTGGCTGTGCTTTCTTCCTCCCACTGCTCCCACCCCGCCGTCGGTCAGTCTCTCTTCCTCAGCGAACCCGTGATGCGTTCTTCGGAGTAAGAAATAAAGTCGTGTTTTTGACATCCTACTATCTACAATATTTATTAATTGGTGAAAATAGCGAAATGAAGCCTGGAGCTACAAAAGGTACGTCCGGCGACGATTTTTTGGCGGCAGTCCAGATATAACGATCACCGGTTATAACGATCATATTTTTAGGTTTTCTCGATATCGTTATAAGTGGACTGCACTGTATACCATTTAAAACGGCGGAGGAGAAAGTATATCATGCATTCAAAAGTTGCAAGTGCATCGTGCAACCAAAAAGGCGGGAATTTAAATTAATAAATGCTGTCAGGTGTGATGAATATTTCCTTTTTGCAGTCGCAGTCATAGACAAAAATTTGCTAGTATCGAGATGAGAGGTCAACCGAAGAGAAATACACTGCACCATGGAGGCAGTTGATGACATTAATACGAGGTAGAGGATAGACATCCTTCTTGGTGATTTGATTGAGGTAGCGATAGTCGACAAAAAACCTCCAGCAGTTGTCCTTCGTTTTAACAAGCACGACAGGTGATGCCCAAATACTTGAGAAAGTCTTTAGGATGTTTTTGTTTAGCATTTTCTCTACCTCCTCCTATATAGTTTGGCACTCTAAGTGAGACACATGGTAAGGCCGCTTAGGAAAAGGACTGGGGTCGTCAATGTATGGTAGGATACAACTCTTGAGCAGCCCAGGAGACACTCGTTCAAGCAATATAGCCATATGGAGAGGTTACACTTTTACAACCTGGAGTGCATTAGGCTCATTCAAAAAAGAGTGCGCCCAGAACTGCGAAAATGAAAGAAAGCAGAGGCATCAAGATTTCTGTTAGGAAATTATATCTGGTGGGGGACGTCTTAGGGGTGTCATAATTGGCAAGCACCAAAACTATTATCGTTTGGCCATTAAAAAAGATACAGCCAGATTTAAAGAACATGCGAAAAGCTGTTCGGCCAGATATTTTCACATGGCATCAAAGGATACCAATTCATTCTACGGCCTGTGCCAGAAGGACGCTGAAACTTGGTGTAAATTCAAT